CTTCCGATCTGGCTAATCTACATGCCTCCGTCGACGGAGGCATGGAGTCTGGACACAGCCCCAGGGTTTAATCCTTGCTAGACCAGTGTGGGGCAGATGCCCCGTCATAGTGTCAAGTATTAGGTCACTGCATAGGTTGATGTCAGTGGCAAGTTAGTAGATGCATTTTTAGGTGCTCAAATTTAAGAAGACACATGAGCTGCATCCATGCCCACAGCAGCAATGGCCAGACCCCCAAGCCCTTTAAATTGCCACCAGAGCATCGCTGAGGCCTGGAGGAGGGCCCAGCACTGCAGTTCGGGCAACACTGAAGGCTAACTGTCTCACACCCACCCTTTCTGCCCAAGGCCCTGCCCCTTCTGGGGCATGGCACCAGCCACCCCCCATCTTGCCCAAGGACCTGCGGACGCTGTCAGCTCCCATGGCTGCATCTGTAACAACCCATATCTTACAAAAGCTAAATGCTTGTAAATTGGACCCCAAACAGATGGGTGCTGGTGCATCTGACGGAGCTGCAAACATCTCTGGAAGACTTGGAATGGAAGCTTTGCTTACATAGAAGTGTAGCCCTAATCTGTTCTATACACACTGCAGAAGCCATCTATTACAACTAGCAGTAGGGAGACCTACAGACTCTTCAAAAGGCATTTAAAAAGCCATAAATCTAATGTCTTCATTATATTCTTATTTTCAGTGAGAGTGCAAAAAAACCTGAACATTTTGGAAAAAAATGGAAGAAACACTGAGACTGAAGTTCAAATTATTCCAGCCTAAGAAAACTCACTTTCTTTCTCATGAGTGATCCTTGGTCATTCTCTTCAAAGTACTGCAACCATTATAACTGCCTTTAGAAAGTATCCATCAAGATGGGATGGATCTAGAGGAGAGAGGCTGACGGACTGCTTTTTTACTGTGTTCTGATACCCATTCCCTTGCTTGTAAATCTACTGTTGAATCTAGTTGGATCATTACATTATGCCATCCAGGCATCTGCTACCAAAGGAGTATATCTTTGTCCAGCAATAGAAGCTATATTTGGATTAGAGAGAGATCAATTGAAAAAGTAGCAGATGAAGCAAAGACTTCAGTCCAGAAGTTGACTAATAAAGCCATTAATATTGAATACTTACATGAAAAAACAAGAAGTGTTTGCTAAGACAGCTGGAAAAATACACAGACTTACTTTTTACAAATCTGCAACAGTGACTTCTGGATTCCACTCAGCCTCTATGTAGCTTCTGTAGAACCCCATCCTACAAAACACCAACAGCTGACTGGAGTGGGGCACTGCCAGCAATGGGGCTGCCATATGATCAGGACAGAACAGAGAATTTGAACACAGAGTGGATTATTATACAATGAATTAATGAAGATTTGACTTCAGCTTCTTTCATATCATCAATAGTAACTCAACCCTATCTTTGTGCTATGTTTCCTGGGATGAAAGAAATAGGAATTCATCTCTTGTTACTGCCAGTCACAACAGCTACAGTTGAGAATATTTTTTGTCATTGAATAGAATTTTGTGTTCTGAAAGAAGTTGCCTTCTGCCTGACCATGTGAATGAATTAATGAACATAACAATCGAAGGAATGGCAATGCCAGACACAGAAGAAGCAACCAAAGAAATTCATTAATAGAGTTGTGCAAAATTATAACATAAAAACGAGAAGGATGCAGCTGTAGTGCTTCACAGAAGGCTTAAATAGCCAAATTTAATTTGTATAATGATTTTAAAATTTTGAATTAAATCTAATACAATGGCAATGAAAGATTTTTCAGTTTTTATTATGGTGCCATACAGTCCATCTTCATTCTCACAGTCTCATCCCCCCCATGAATGCAAATACCCCCATTTCAATTTCTGGGGGCAACACTGTATAGCTAGCATACAAGCTTGGTTGTAGGTGGCTTGTTTATATGAGGAATTAGAGGAAGAATGGCCAGTGGTTAGAGTGCTAGCCTGAGACTTGGGACACCCAGGTAAAATGCCCAGGTCCAACACAGACCTCCTCTATGACCTTAGGCAAGTCATTTAGTCTCTGTCGTCTGAATCCTCAAATGTATTCAGGCACCTAACTCACACTGATTAGGCCGGAGTGGGGAATCTTTTTGGGGCCAGGAGCTGCTGAACAACAGAAAAATCTGTCAGGGGCCACACACAATTGAGAAGCCAAAAAAAACCCCTCCCCTAACTGATGTTGCCCCTGACTGAGAAGGAGAAAGACACTCCCCACAGTCCCCTCACACACTACAGCCCAATGGAGCCCAGGCTAGTAGATTTTGTGTGCTCCAGTCTCACGGTAGGTACAGGCTCCCCAGTGCTGGGGTGGGGTAGCCCTGAGACTTGGGGGTTGGATCCAGGCAAGTCGGGCTTCCTAGTCCGAACTACCTAGTCCGTGCCGCGTGTAGCCGCGCGGCACGGAGTCCGCACTAGCGGACATTTAAAAATGGCGGCGCCCGGCTTTATGCAAATGAAGCCCGGGAAATTCAAATCCCGGGCTTCATTTGCAATTCCGGTTGCCTACATTACCACCCTAGTTCGAACTAGGGTGGTAGTATAGACATACCCTATGAGGCTCTGGGCTTCAGTCTCCCATCTGTAAAAGGAGACAATAGTATTGTTCTACTTCTCAGGGGCATTATGAGGGAAAATGCATTAAAGATTTTAAGATGCTCATCTATTACAGCGAGGTTTTTTCTACATTTATAAATACACCTTCATATAAGAGAGGAAAATTGTAGATTCTCTTTTAGCAGCCTCCTTTCAAAAGATTCCTGAGCTCTATACCCATATAAAAAAAAAAAAAAACCCTGTAGCGAATGGAAAGCAAACTTCTAGAGAAGGAACCTCAGGGAGACCTTTTGGGAAAAGGAAGGAGCATGTTGTGATCTAGCACATCCCCATTCTGCTGCTAACTCTTCCGAGAAAGAACTGAACAGATAGGTGAACAAGAGTTTTTCTTCCATTCACTGAGGTATGAAAATTCAATAGCTGCAGTATGTTTTTAAAACACTAAGATGGCGTGGCTATGCAAGATGGACTTAAAAAAAAATCAAATACTTTATTCTGAAATAAGGTTAAAAAAATCCCCAAACCCCATATACATGGCGGTAACTTGAAAGCTAAGGCCTGCATTAGCTTTATATGATGGCAGATAAAGACTACTTTGAAGGGATGACACTTTTCATACACCTTTGATGTGAGAAAATGGTAGTATAAAAGAAGAAAGTCAGAGAGAAATTACTATCTATCTAGTCAAAAATTAAGAGTATTGTCAATCTGCTATTGAGACTTACTGATAAATTGAACATCTCAGTTTTGCTTATAGGTAAGATAAATATAAAGAAGGCAGAAGCATCTACACAGTATCATCCAAATTATCCAGAGTAAAATCAGTAAAAAATCCAAATGATCCAATCCAGAAAAAAAACTAACAATAGAGCCTATTAAATAGTAATGAGCTTCTGAAATACACACATGCACCTGAAAAAAAAAAAGAAAGACTATTCATAACAACTTTCTTGAAATGTGTGCAGAAAGGGATAAAGAGCAGAGGTTTGCAGCACACAACTAGCTGTCCTTTTATTTCAGAAATCAAACCTGTGTGTGTGTTTTCTTTGGAAGTATGTCTCGTGACGGAGCATAAAATGAACTTGGTAAAGAGACGATTTCCCAATTAAAATTCATATTCTAACTCTCATACATGGAGCAGGAGTGCATCAGAAACAGGGTCTACTCCACTGACACTCTAGAGCCCGATGGGAGGACACCTCCCTATCCAAGTATCCACAGAATTCCTAGCATACAACCTAGCTAATTCAGCTGGCTGGATTCTAGGATATGAGCCACAACATGTGGTATGAAGTAGGCATACAGGAATCTCCACATCAGGTAACATCCAGGGACAGGGTGAAAGAAAATCAAAATAAAAGGGGGAGTTTACCAATTTTGGTGGCTGTCATCATGGTTCTTGGTGCAAAAGCAATGCATTATCATCTTACAGCAACAGGAGGTATCAAAAAAGGACAAGAGAAAAACGTATCTGAAGGAGTTCATGTCCTCATGCAGATTTATGTACAAACAATGGTTTTGTGTGTGTGTGCATGCATGCATGTACACATGCCTATCCTGGTTGGGTCACATCCCCAACCATACCATTTCCTATAAAAGAATGAATTAGGAGTGTCCGGGATAGTCCATAGTGAGAGAAAAACAGATATAGACATTTGGAGGGAGGTCCTTCCTCAGAAACTTGTGAAATATCCAATTAAATGTCTTGTATCTTAGATTTTAAGACATTTCCAAATGCAAATGCTAACCAAAATCTCTGTATATTACCTATTATACTATTTCTGCCTGATGGTATCTTACCTCCATTGGAGAAAGGATGCTGGTGGTGGCAGGTTTCTTCTTCTCTACCTCTTGAGGTGGAATAGCTGTTCCTGTGAAGGTGCATTGGGACTGCACATCATGTTGCTCCACCTACCGGCAAGCCCAGAAACTTCTTGATCTGGTATTAGCTCCTCCCACCTCTGTAAATCCTCACCTCACCAGTCAAGGAGAACGAGGAACACTGAAGGGGATCCTTCATGTGGAGGCTGAAGAGAAAGGGCACATCTGCTACATTCTATCCTATTCAGGTTCATATACTGCTCTCATCACTGTGGTACCTTTTTAACCTGATATTGATCCATAATCCTACTTTTGTCACTTGACAATAAATGGTTTTTCACGGAATGGTGAAAAAACCTCCAATGCACCTAGCCACCTATGCAAATGAGAGTGGATTTTTCCCTGATCTTTGCAGTGGCCAGATTATGCCCTTAATAATGTAATTCTGCCTTGTGCAAACAGAGAGAGCTAAGATAACAAAAGCACTATCCTGACCTGTGACTGTAAGCAAAGTCTACTAATCAAATGAATCAAAATTTAATCACCAAATTACAATTCAGGTGTATACAGACTGAGATTTGGGATGAAGGAAAGGGGGGCTCCTAGCAAAATGTTTAGTGAATTGCAACAAACAAAACGGCAAAAAGAACCCTTATGCTGTGGCTGCTGTGGTGCCCTATCTGGGTTATAATCCCAGAACAGTTATTCCATTCAAATTCCAACACACAGTGAAATTTCTGTAGAACTGCTCTTAGGACAGACAGCATTTAGATTTCATTGCAAGGCATGTCTTATAAGGAAGGTTTGTCAAAGGACTTCAATTTTAATACAGTAGTGTCACCAAGAGATCATTAAATATCAGAGAGCTTCATAATAAAACTATAAACATATGCCAAAAATGGAAACCCAAAGGCAAAGAAAAAGGTGTGCCGATTTAAAAAATAAAGGCTCACATTTTCTGAAGCACATGTGCCCAGACTGCAAGTGCTTAATCCCCAATGTGCATATACAAATCAGATTCACATGCAGTAGGGATTGTAAGTGGTGTTTAATTAACATCTTTTCTGATACTTATTACTATGTACCTATTCAGCAACAAAAACCTACAATTATGATTCATGTCATTATGAATTCTCAGCTAAACTACCTCAGCTGGTGGTTTTCCTGTCTCTGTCCACATGGAAGGTTCATTTTAGCAGTGAATGCCTGCATCTTACTGTACTAAGCAGCTCTACCAGAGAGCTCATAAAAAGCCCTAATGTACACAATCTGAGAACATGCCCCTTTGCGCCAGCCAACAGTGAGAAAGGGGAGCAAATGATGACACTAAGGCTTTGTCTATACCGCAGGGTTTTTGCGCAAGAAGCTTTTTGTGGAAGAGATCTTCTGCAAAAACGTCTTACACAAAAGCATGTCTACACCTCAAAAGCGCATCACAAAAGCGATGTGCTTTTGCACAAGAGAGCGTCCGCACTGCATGGACACTCTTGCGCAAGAAAGTTCTGATTGCCATTCACAGAATGGCCATCAGAGCACCTGTGCTTTTTGTGATAGGCTCTTTTTGTGCAAGAAACTCCTGTTGAGCGTCCACACACACCTTTGTTGCACAACTCTTAAACAAAAAAGGAGTTATTCCTCGTAGAAAGAGGTATACCTATGCTGCCAAAAGCCCTCTGTTCTGCCATTTTACTGTCAATTTTCTTGTGCAAAAATGTGCTTGAGGTGTTGATGCTCCGTGGGTTTTTGCGCAAAAACCCTGTAGTATAGACATAG